GGAAGTTCTTTTAACTTGACAGAGCTCACTTGCAACACGCAAAGTTGCCATCAGTTGGGTTAATCATTTTCCTGATATTTACAGGATTCAAGTCCATAGATATTCTAAAATAAGCAAGAACTTGTAATGTTTAGACAAAAAAGTACTTGTGCAAATTAATAATCTACGTAATTGATTCCTCCTTTCTCATACCAGCGTACCCAAATACTAACTGTTTATTAATACACAAGCAACAAAATCCTGAAACCATTTCCATGATTTACTAATAAAAAAACAAGCACCAAACTAATTAACATAAACATTTGAAACGTATTTAGTACCTCAGCAGAATAACAGAACAAAGCCATCAAATGCAAGGAGACCATGATATGCATCCCCTAACAGCATGCTTGCAGCCTTAAAAGAATGTCAACGGCCTCACACCTGCTGGGCTGGCGCTGCTCTCTCAGGACAGCATACAGGAACACAGAATCATTACAGCTGACTTCCACAAGTTATTTTGCCCCAAACAACAAGACTTGCTGTGATTTAGTTTTTTAGTAAAACTTACGCTATACTTTAAATCCTTCAAAGAATAATACAGTATTTTCCATGATTACCTCGCTCACAGAATTTCTATCATACTCCATGCAATGGAATTTTCAGTCCTGCAATAATCTGAACACTCGGAATCTGACCAGACATTCATTTAAACTTGCCTTAACTTTCAGTAGTTCACACACACACTCAAAGTAAAGTGTGAGATTTCTTCGGTTGAAGGAAGACTGAAATATAACTTTACAAGACAAGAGTTAGTCCTTAAACAACTGGCATTTACAGACACACATTTATAAGTAAAGATATTTATACAGTAATTTGCATGGATTATCTGATTTACACTGGATAGATTTACATGTATGTAAATCCAAATAAAAGGGTGTTCAGTAGCTGGTTCACCATAGGATAAGGAATAAGGCTTATTACTCACATTTCAGCAATTACTTGTACATAATCAGCTATGACAAAAATAAAAACTATGCATAAGATATGAGAGAACAATGCAAGGATAATTACAGCAACTTTGTAGAAAACAGTACAGACGCCTCGGATGAGATGCAATATTCCTAACCCAGATGGATTACTCATCTGCAGGGTATGGGAAAGGCCTGACACAAAAAAGCAGTTTCAGTTTCCTTACCTGAGAAGCAAAGGGTGGGAGCAGAAAGGATGAAGTCTACAACACAGCAATGTAATGCAGAGCCTCAGCTCTTTATTAATCAACCATTCCTAGCCTTATTAGGGAAGTGGGCTCTAGTTTCTTGCTATATTAGCTATTAGCACTGTCTTCTTAGGTGTGACTTTTTTCCACCAACAGAGAAGTCACAGACCAAAGAAATCACTGTGCTATTATGAAGCTTGAATGAGGAAAAAAACAACTACTCAGTGAAACAGTTTTTCCTATAAACCATATACAGACTCTGGCACTTACTGCAGATAGACATCATTTTGGGAGAGTAACCAGCAAGGTTAAAAAAAGCTACTGCGTTTTTACACAGCTAAAACAGTTGTAAGCACTACTGCTGCTAAGAAACATTAAACCTCAAATGTCTTACAGGTTAAGACAAGATAAAAGGATGAAGCCTAACATAAGAGGCAGAAAACCCTGGCGTACAGATTTTCCTTAATCTTTGTCCATCTTTCAAGAAAAATAAACCAATTTTTCTTTTTTAAATTACACACAGAAGCTTGGACTATCTCCCATATGACAGTAGTGAACTGAATTCCTCATTATAACAGGCTGTCAGCATGCTGTTCCTGGTACTACCAAATGCACCGTGCATCGGTGCTAAACTGCCCTCGGCTGCCTCACAGTTAAGGATTGGTCCCCCACACTGGTGTCTACAGTCACAGCTGCACACACCACTTACCTATCAGAAACATGCACTGCAACTGAAAGAACTCCTAGCATCTCCCAGCACTTTCAGCACTCTTCTTTTGACTTTTCCTGGTGCCAGTACTATGCTTTGCCCAGAAACATTTTAACTCACAGAAGTTTCCAGGAGCTTGAGTATTTTTATTTCCAGAAGAGTTACAAACAGAGGCATACTGGTAGTGTCTAGGCACATCAGACATCAATAAGGCATTGGCTACCACCTCTACTGCCAGGTGAACGCAGCAGCATTTGCAGATCTCAGCTGTGTTGGGTGACATTTTCTGCACAGTAACACTTCATTTTTAAATAGTTATGAACTATCTGATTCAGGAAGCAAGGGGGTTTTCTTCTCTTTTGCTTTTCTTGTAATTTGGTCTGCTTCTCTAAAGCACGTTAAAAAGTACCTCATTTCTAAGAATTCATTTTTTTTTCTTCCAGAAATTGTAATGTTTTAGTTTTCTCTGCGTAGGCCTCCTTATGAAAGTGAGCCTGCAGAGCTGAAATCAAATACTGGTCTAAGCTGTTTGAATAAACACAAAAATTACAAGACTAAAACAAATTCATCTTATCATCTAGCCACTCCAAGAGGAGTTTTGGAAATGCAAGACACCTGTAGGTATACACATGGGAAGTATAAAAATATTACATTAAACAGCTACAACCCAACATCTCACATAGGGATGAGGACTAAGCGTTCAAACTGAAAACCTGTATACACTCAAATCAAGAATCCTCCATTCTTCCTACAACAATAAGATTATTCAGTATTTCTTCAGTGTTTTCCAACTTTTGTCTAATGCCAGTGCAATAGTAACCTGCACCTCCATCATTCACTCAGCTTTTGCTGTATGATAGCATATCAAGATCTACCGTACACTAGCCACAAGAATAAGGCAGATATAGGAACAAGTAAGCACTGGAAAGTTCTGAGAGGCATACTGAGAGGAAGAATGCGGGAAAGAAGAGGAAGAAATCAAAGTGTTATAGACAAGTTTTCTTTGCATTGTGAAAGCAACAAAAAGGTGACATGATAAACTGTAGAAAAACGCAGGAAGAGAAGAAAATATTTTGCCCACTGTTATCACATCACTGTGCAAACAGACAGCCCTTGGATTTAGGAAAGACGATTCTTTGGGATACATCCAAAAACTAACTCATGCATCTTACATTTAAAACAGACATGACAGAAAAATAGAGTTGAGAACATTCTCTTTTTTCTTTTAAATATTCTGCCAAATGTCCATTGATATTACTCTTGATAGTTTTACTGACAGCTCATTTATAGAAAACCATGATATCTGTGGATGCACAGATCTCCAGTCCAAACCTACAGATTTCAATATGCACACATGCGCACAGAACAGCCATCTTTCAGCTCAAGGGTTCACTACATAAGCTGCAATGCATTCTGTTCAAATCCAGCAATTCCAGCAGAAAAATTTGCTTTGTAAGGAAAAGGAGAAAAACATACTGTTTTCCAGGAAGAGAAGCAATCTACCTGAAGTACTGGATTCCTGATACCACTCAGCATGCAAGCACAGGCTTTTCTGAGCTCAAAGGCAGATCACTGCCTGAGGACTCTTTTTTTTTTTCAGATTAGGTATGTCTATTGCACCTCCATATGATTCCCTTCCATTTTTTAGTGGGCTTCATCTTCTAATCATATTTCTACACCAGCTGTTCTTTGAATAATCTTTGACTCACTGAATAAGTTCCATTTCTCTTTATACATACTTTTTTTTTTTTTAAAATCAAGTCTATCTTAAGCAACACAAAAATAATAAAACAAACCAGAAAAGAAGAATTTAAATCACAATGAAGACAATCCTCCTGCAGCTAGGAAAATTATCAAAACTCACTGAATGTCAAGCTAAGAACATACTAGAGCACACTTTCCTCATATACCATTTATCACTATCTTACAGCTACACATTTCTGACTGATGCTATTCCCTAACCAGACATTCTACCTTCTGCACTTGTATATTTATTCCTTTCCATCATGAATCAACTTATGGCTGGCTATATAGAATCTTGTATTATTGATTAAAAAAAAAAAAAAAACACAAACAAAAAAGTCAACAATTAATCAAGATCTAGTGTAAAAAATTGATGATCTTTCAGATCATCTGTTGCAGGGACACTAGCAATGAAGAATATGTTGGATTTGGTATCAGTCTAAAAGAAATGCAAATGCAAATGCAGACACATTCTAATTCTTTTCATGCGTTTTCTTTAGAAAAACAAATACTTCCATTGAAGAAACTCATGTCCAAGTTTTTCAAATAATAAAAAACTTAGAATCATATAATCATAACATAGAAATTTAGACCACAGAACATACAAACTTAAGAGTTTCTTTTTTTTTTTATTTTAAATACAAGTATTTTGAAAAGTCTAGGCAAAATAATCCTAGTTAACTGCATTGCTGTTATTAGAACAGTGAAACAATGCATCTGCCCTGCATGTATACACTTTCCTATAAGGATTAATTCATAGCCAGAAGCTGGGGCACTCGTGTTATCCAATTCAGTAAGCGTAGAGCACTGACTTTTATAAGGGGCTGACAATTTATTCTTTTTTTAAACTAAGTAATTATGGCATCTCTACAATAACATCAAATATACACCATTCTGCATTGCCAAGGATTAAAGGGAGAAACGGTTCTGACATTAAAATGACAAAACAAATCTTATGGAGGACTTCAGCTTTTTTGCCTGCTTGTTTTGATAGGGTTCTTTTGACACAAGCTCATAACAATATTTGGCTTCTTGATATTAACAAGTTTTGTCTGATACGTTTCCCCCATTTTTAATATTAGGACAGGTTAAACAAGACCACACTCTCAACAGAGACAGCTTGTAAAATGAGCTATCTAAAAACCAGGGTGATAGAAATAGTACAATATGCAGAGCTCGAAAACTGCAATTGAGTATTCCTGTCACAAAGGCATTCTAATCACCGAGCCACCAGTTGGGTGAAGACTTCCTTACCGCTATCATTAGCATCTGCCTTTCTGTAGCTGAATAGGAGAGCATTTTTATCATTATTCTAACATTAAAAAAAAAGTTCAATCTCATGTTTCCAACCTGGTCTCCAAAGTCCTCCGGGAACTTCCACAGTACCACTGGATCTGTAAATAATTGACAGACAGCATTAATCAGAGGCAAAGGAACAGAGTATTACAGTCAGAGTACATTAATATTAAAGAGAGGGTCAGCTTAGCTTCAAGCTCTGAGGCAAGTACAAAAACGTAGGTGAAAACTACGGAAGATGCTGGATTATTAAAGAGGCATTTCATATTTATGAAACTATGTTTATTGTTTCACACAGGTGAGCAGGTTGTACAATGTACCAAACTGCTTCCATATTTAACTCTTCTTTTCAACCTGACCACTACAGTTTTTAAGCCCATACTTAATTTTCACATTTTAATTTAATTAAGAAATGAAATGATACAAAGTCTCATCCAAGCATTGAAAAAAAAAAAAAAAAAAAAAAAGTTATGTACTATGAAGAGGAAAACAAGCATCTCCGTGAGGTACAGAATAGGGATCTTTGCAAATCTAAAGACAGTGCCAGCATACCCAAGACTCAAGGAAGAGATTGGAGAGAAGACACATTTGAATATTTTTCCACTCCGAGCCATTTAAAAAACAGCATTTAGATTATACCTTAAAGCTTCCGTTAATCTATTACAATTGTTTCATGTTTACTGTTAATTACAGTAAAACTCTCACTTACTGTTCAGGCTATGCATTAACCTGTAATTAATATTATTGTCAATGCACCTAACGCAGCAATCTGAACCACAACTTCTCAACCACTGAATTATACACTTGATCTTCCAGACGCTGCTCATCTCCTGCAATACCAAATCTTCCTCATGCCCTCCCACTAAAGTGCATCACATACACACATGAAGCATCCATTAACACAACTAGCTGTTCCCATGCTGAAGTGAAATTACCTGCTTCCCAACAGTGTGGCACAAGCCACAACACCTGGAAACTGGGTGATTTCTGCAACTCCCACCAGTGCACGTGCGCAAGCCAGGTGAACACTCCAGACCCTCTCAGTGCTGTGGGCAGCAGCCCCAGGTTTCCAGGGGCAAAAAAACAGGGCAAGCCCTGAGCAAGAGGAAACTGCTTGGAAGCCCTTAGGCTACAGCAGGGGGCCTGGGATTCCCATCTTTGGAAGAGCTGATGTCTGTGAGACACCCAGATTTCTATTTCTCACATCAGTCTCTGCGGCTAGCACTGCCTGATCAATCAGAAGCCTTCTGAGTGCCGCACTTCACATCAGATCTGGAGACTTCTCCACTTCTGGCAAAGTACAGAGGTTTCCACTCATCTTCATCTAGACACAGAAGGTTGCTGCTACAAATTGAGGCTTTAAAGGACAAATACCCTACATGATATTTTCACATCCCGCTGCCCTGCTCACAGCTGCAGTGCCCACACTTGCCAGCTGCAGAGGACAGCAGGCCACAAGCATCCCCCCCTTGCTCCAGGTCAGGTGCCAAATCAACAGCGTAAAATGCCCCTGAAGATGATCTAAAACTTACCTCAACCAACTCAACCTTACTTAGACTGAATTTAGATTTTAGATTTTAGTAAAATTAGTAAAAATCTGTTTCTGCAATAAGCAGTCAAATAGCCACATTTTTAATCCTAAGAGCAACAGAAAGGTTCTACAGTCATTCTTTATGAAAATCCATGCATTTGGACAATTAGCTTTCTTACATCTACAAGGGGGAACAAAAACTTCTGGGGAAGATTAGAAACAAGAGAAAACTGAAGAGCATTCCATCTAAAAGTATACTAAAAGAATAAATACAGTTCTCACTTAGAACAGAAAAGCTTTTCCCCTTACTTTTCTTGTATGTAAATAAGTCACAGACATATCTGGATAATAACCAGGCTGAGGGCCTCAGCGTTAGTGAGCTCATTTTTGTTCTGATTTAGCCCCATGAAAAAGAAAATTATTAGATGTAAATCATCTCCTTGCTCCAGATGCCATGCAATCACCTTTCTTCTGCAGTAAACCAGGCCAGGAAGCCCCCCAAGCTCATGCCAACCATTGAAACCTTTTCAGGTCTGCACCAAATAAACCGGTATCCCCAAAACCTCCATTTGAGAGCAGAATCAAGAAAGAAAAGCGAGAGACAAAGCATTACGGGGGACAGAAAGCTACAGCCACAGAAATCCAGTTTGGTCTGTGGTTGGTCCTATTGGTTTTTACCCATTCCTTCTGCCCTGATCTTCTCTACCACCTATAGCAATTTCTATAGAGAAACGCTGAGCTATTCTCAGCCAATAGGTGTGCTGAGCATCTCACAGAGAGAAAGGCTGCCGAAACATTGCCAGCTGAAAGCTGTGTTTCTTAGGCACGGAGCAGATTGTTTTGGCAGGTGCTAACAACATTTCCATAATAAATAGTTATTGAATATTTTAGCAACATTATAATGAAACCAAAGGTGAGTTGTGGGGGATTTTTTATGCTTTTGGTTTGCAAAACAGTTATTGCATAAAATTCAAGAGAAATTTGGGGATTCCTTTCACTGCTCAGTGGAAGCATAACGTCAATCTTCAGAAAAGGAAGTAATTACAACACTAAAACCTCTCTGCTTGATTTTAGAACGTCACAATCAGGAACAAAGAATAACCCCAGAAATTTCTAAAGCTTGGATCTAAGTAACTATTTTTGGTCAGAAAATAAGTCATGTCTCCACATCACAATGACATGCCTGTGGAGTGGGCAGTGTCTCACTGGAGCACGCTGTGCACACTGGCAGCAAGGCCAGCAATTCCGCTTACCTCTTTGGGAGCCCTAATTGCTAACAGACACGAAACCTACGGCCACAGCTCACTGTCCTCTCCTTTTGCAATCTTCATTTCACACGAGGGCTCCCCAGTGCTTCTTGAAGTAGTAAAAACAAGAACCTGAAAGTATATTCCCCTTCACTGAACTGAAGTACAATGTTCATTTTCACTGTGTTCTCCTTTTACTTTCAGGCAAAAAGGCATTATGTATCACGTCAGTACAATTACAATTGGGTAAGTCAACAGAAAATAATAATCAAGATAACATTCTGCATGGTTCCTGAAAGCACAAAACAGGCGACACTCAAGAAAACAGTCCTACCTAAACTCAAGAAACTCATTCAGTGCTGCATATCCAGCAAAAGCTATATTCCAAGATCTGCCACCTGCCCCAAGCAGAGTTTTGCGGCTGTTATTACTGGCATTCAGCTGGTGATTTTAGCGAGTATGCATAATACTTCTTTTTTAGAACATCTGGTGGGGCTTGTGCCTCAAAATTCAAGTGACTGCATTCTGTCTGTTCCTTAACCCTCGGTAGCACCTCCATCATAAAATCCTGAAGCTTTTTAATTTCCCAAGTCAGAGACTGGGCTTGTTTTGGAAGCTGATGTTAGTTTCTATATCTGGAACCAGACTCGGACAGCATCTGACATCTGTGTCAACTTTGCACAAGTGCCACAGAGGAATAAACAAAATGGTACTGATTTAGAAATAAAAAGAGTAAGCAAAACCCAATTCTGCAACTTAATGCAGGTTTACAAAGACTGAATTCTTGTTTCCCTGAGGATTACTGTCCAGATACCCCATCTGATCTGGCAATGTTAGGTCACAATTTTATGTTCATTTTACGGGTGAGAGGAAGAGAATCACTCAGAAATAGATGTTGCTGCAGCCAGCTGAGGAACAACCAAATTTCTCCTTATTCCCCACTTTTGCCAGACTTCTTTGGAGAAGCACTTGGCACCATTTTTGCACAAGTGTGCTGGTAAGAACAAATGGTTGGCTGCACACATGAAGCGTATATACGCTGCGTGTGTAAGCATATACGAGAGTTCTCAGGTCTGCTGCACCCAGACTGACTATTCTTACACCAGACCACACTCAGCATAAGCTAGGAAAACCTGAGCATTCTTTGTTTGCATCACCCACTCCTTGGTGGGGCCCTGTAAGAGCATCACTTGGTGTACTGAGTGGCCGTGCAGTGCATGGTATGGTAATAGAGCCCACACAGCTGCACACTGCATTCACTCATTCCATGCTACTTCATAAATCATGAGCATCTAATGGAATCTTTATGTAGTTACTGAGAGGACAGCTCCAGCCCTCAGCCCTCCTCCAAGGTGGAACACCATTGCAACAAGGCTGCAGGAAGTGACACAACACAGCCTCTGATTTCTGAAGTTTTAATTAAAAGGTCACGAGTTGCAATTAAAATTTTGCTATCATAAAATTTCTAGTTCAGCAATGCTAGAGTAAAGTTGCATATAATCTCATCTAAGTTTGAGAGGAGAATAAGAAATGCTGGCAAGTTGTTTCGGCTCCAGAAAAAGCATTTAGTTTGAAAAACCTTGACTCACACGTGTGCCTTACCTCCAGGTTTAGTTTAAAAACGTGAGAAAAGGGATCCATTTAGAATAGGTAACTTAAAGTCTTTAAGATGACTAAAAAAACCCCACTGAGCTACAATACCTACAGCAAGCTTCAGGAAAAATCTTGTCCTCATACAATAAGGAGACTACTACAGTAGGTTACAAAGAATTCACTCTAAGTATCAAATGAGGCTTCAGTCAGTTCAAGTACATATGCTGAATAATAACCACAGAACAACCTCCCCTCACAAACACCTATGCAAATAAATAGTTTCAGTGAGTAAATTTGGGTTAAGCATATACAAATAAATCAGACGTTGAATAATTCCATCTTAGAAGCTCAATAGAAAGCATTTTAACTAAGAAATATAACAATAGAATAGATAATATCATACCTACTGTGAGCCCAGTAAATACAGTTAATTTGGTGAGCAGATCACACCCTGTGCCTCCTAACCATCCATTGCTCTCACCAGAGAAATCTGCCCTCTCCACCCTGCCAAACCAGAGCTGGGAAGCACGGCTGGTGCTCAGGTGTCTCCAGCTCTTGGGCCCTAAATGCCAGAGTTCAAAAAGCATTTGGACACCACTCTCAGATGCATGGACTAACACACACTGCTTGGAGCCAGGAGTTGGACTCAATGAACCCTGTGGGTCTGCTCCACTTGGATATGGGGTCAGTAGATGTCTAAAGTCATACAGTTCTGCATTTAAAAATT